TATTGAGCTAACGAACACACATATATAATTACACTTATATATATATATATTAATATATATCAATTTGAACGTATGGAGTTTTTTGCCTTTTGGGATCTGAAAAGGAAAAAGTAAATCGGTTCCAGGTCCAGGACTTCAATGAGCGGAATTAGCTTATATTAGTCTATAATATGCAATATTTATAAATATATAAGTATATATGTACATGTATATATAATCATATATATGAATTTGAACGTATAGTGTTTTTGGCTACTGGGGACCTAAAAGGGAAAAAGTAAATCGGTCCCAGGTCCCAGTTTTACAATGCGTACTACAGCAATAGCTTGAACTCTATATGGTAAATTCGCTAAAAGTGAAAATTGGCCGCCATTTTCCAAGATGGCGGCCGTAACACAAAATATACGAATGTTGATTTTTAATAAGTTGTTACTGGGTGCATGTACTATACATTGCAAGGTTTCCTTATTCAGGGAATTATTTCCAGATAGAGAGAGTGTTATTTTTACCTATATGACTAGGCTACTTTGGTACTCGCAGGAATGTTGGCGTTCTCATTTCCATATAGCTTATTGACACCTCGGAGTCGTCGCTACCGTGTGGGTGGCTAATTACAAACATCTCTTATATTGTTCTTCATTGATATTGGTCTTCTGGTCTTTTGTTGTATAATTCTGCTGATTTTAATCGTCACTTTCTTTATTTATGTTTTGGTCAATCGTATGAAATATTTAAATATCATCTAAATAGAATTTGCATTCGTCTAGTGTTTCAAGGTTTTTGAACGGTTTGTTGCTGTACTATATTAACTAGAGTTTTTCTTTCAACGCAATCTTTATCTGTCGATTTGTCCGCATGATTTAGTATATTTTTAATATTGCAATTGGATATAGCATTTATGTGTTAATAAACAAATGTTATGAAAGAGTTATTATTTGCTTTGAATCATTTCACATGAATTCTGCATATATGTTATCTTCAAAATAATCAACTAATGTTAGTATTAATGTTATTAGCGTTCCGTTAAAATGGTTTATTTGATTTGATATTGAATTCTTCCTTCACATTATTCGTTATTGGCGTCAATTTGCTACCTTCATCTACATTTAAGACATCAACAATAATTGTATATATTTTCATTTTTTAATTCACACAACATACTAGAATAGTGTTTATGTTTTATTACATATTTGTATTATTTTTTCAACGAAACAGTATGTGATATTTATTTTTGTACTATAATTATAAATTATCCGTATTTCAAGTAATATTGCGACGTCCTGGGCTCTTTGACAGTGTTTCGTTATAAACATCATCGTCTGAATCAACAGATTCGTTGTCGGGTATTGCTTTATGATGGCTTTTCTTGGACATTTCTGAAGAATTTGTCTTAGTTCACGAAACAAATACGTTCTACATTCTGGGTCTGTTTGATTGTTCATTCGTCATATTTTGACGTCCTTTATATTCGTCTAGTAGTTTAAAGGTTTTTGAACAGAGTTTGTTCTTGTTGCTGTAATCTATTAACTGGAGTTTTCTTTTTAACGCTATCTTTATATAGAGGCGCAGTGTCCGGTCGAAAGTAACTTGCATATTGAGACTTTATTACCTTTTTATTGTTACATAAGAATCCCTGTCTTGCCGCAGGAATTGGTAATCTTGACTTTGTATGTTTTTCTTTACTGTTTGTTAATGTGGTGCTATTCTTCAATGCAGTTGGTTGTCTCACATTTGGTACATGATTTCCAATATTCCTCTCTCCACTGATCTTCCTCGTAATTCCTTTACAACAATGTTCTATTGTATTCAGTAAATCTGGCTTGTTTCTGCTTCGGATTGATTCTTTGTCTGCAAGTTCGTGGCTGTCTCCTTTCTCAAACACAGTTCTACCCTCTGTCTGCTCCATGGATGGTGTAAGAGCGCAGTGTACCATCTGGCATGTTTTTTCTTCGGATTGATTCTTTGTCTGCAAGTTCGTGGCTGTCTCCTTTCTCAAACACAGTTCTACCCTCCGTCTGCTCCACGGATGGTGTTAGAGCGCAGTGTACCATCTGGCTTGTTTTTGCTTCGGATTGATTCTTTGTCTGCAAGTTCGTGGCTGTCTCCTTTCTCAAACACAGTTCTACCCTCTGTCTGCTCCATGGATGGTGTATTTGTCTGCAAGTTCGTGGTTGTCTCCTTTCTCAAACACAGTTCTACCCTCTGTCTGCTCCATGGATGGTGTATTTGTCTGCAAGTTCGTGGTTGTCTCCTTTCTCAAACACAGTTCTACCCTCTGTCTGCTCCATGGATGGTGTTAGAGCGCAGTGTACCATCTGGCTTGTTTTTGCTTCGGATTGATTCTTTGTCTGCTAGTTCGTGGCTGTCTCCTTTCTCAAACACAGTTCTACCCTCTGTCTGCTCCATGGATGGTGTAAGAGCGCAGTGTACCATCTGGCTTGTTTTTGCTTCGGATTGATTCTTTGTCTGCAAGTTCGTGGCTGTCTCCTTTCTCAAACACAGTTCTACCCTCCGTCTGCTCCATGGATGGTGTAAGAGCGCAGTGTACCATCTGGCTTGTTTTTGCTTCGGATTGATTCTTTGTCTGCAAGTTCGTGGTTGTCTCCTTTCTCAAACACAGTTCTACCCTCTGTCTGCTCCATGGATGGTGTTAGAGCGCAGTGTACCATCTGGCTTGTTTTTGCTTCGGATTGATTCTTTGTCTGCAAGTTCGTGGCTGTCTCCTTTCTCAAACACAGTTCTACCCTCTGTCTGCTCCATGGATGGTGTAAGAGCGCAGTGTACCATCTGGCTTGTTTTTGCTTCGGATTGATTCTTTGTCTGCAAGTTCGTGGCTGTCTCCTTTCTCAAACACAGTTCTACCCTCCGTCTGCTCCATGGATGGTGTAAGAGCGCAGTGTACCATCTGGCTTGTTTTTGCTTCGGATTGATTCTTTGTCTGCAAGTTCTTGGCTGTCTCCTTTCTCAAACACAGTTCTACCCTCCGTCTGCTCCACGGATGGTGTAAGAGCGCAGTGTACCATCATCGTATGGCAAGGAGGACTAGCTGCTCCTGCAAGTTGTTTAGATCCGTCGATGGATTGACATGAAATTGAATTCTTTCTTCGCATTATTCTTTACTGGCTTCAATTTGCTACCTTCATCTACATTAAAGACATGAACTGCTTTATATATACTGTATTAATAATATAATATTCAATTCACACAGCATACTCGTATAGTGGGTACGTTCTATTACATATTTGTAGTATTTATTCAACAAAGCAGTATTGTTATATCTATTTATGCAACTATTATTATTAAAATATTTATCTTATACATTACCATACTGTACCAATTTAAAAAAAAAAAAATGCCATTTATCGTACGTGTACTGAGTAAATAAATAAAAAACTATCTTACAGTTTCTTTATCTTTTGGGAAATTGAATCTGACATTTTTGGTTTCATCCTTTTGTGTTGAATTAGTGAGGTCTTCTTTATCCAACTCTCGTACCTTGGCACTGTCCTGATGGTTAATGGTTCGTTCAATGGTCCTGTCTCCAGTCTCTCCAAAGGGTAATATGCTGGGTAATATGTTACTGGGTGTTAGTACTACAACATATATGCATATATGCTGCTGCATAGCTGTTGTTGTAAACCAAGCTCTGTTTGGTTTGTAATTGCTGTCATTTAACACTCTCCCTTTCTCTTGGAGATATATTTAACCCTCTGTTCATGAGATTCTTGACTTTCTTTACTAGTTCCTCTATGTACTTCTTATCTCTACTGTATCAAGTCTTATAGCGTAGATGAAATGGTAGACTTTGTTGAGGATCATTTGGTCTTGTACTTCGAAGGGAGAGAGTTGGTGCTCATAATTTACAATCTCCATCGATGAGCGTTTTGGGGATGTTGGGTATATTGGTCTTCTGGTCTTTTGTTTTATTATTCTGCTGATTTGAGTCGCCATTTTCTTTATTTATGTTTATACAGGGTGACACAAAGGAACCGGACGTTTTTTAAATAAGTAGTACACAGTAGTTAAAAGGAATAAACTGGTTTTAATACTGTACATAGTGAGGTAAACATTTGCCATTTGTTACAAAACCGTCATTTTTTGAAATTGACGTCATGCATACGGCTGCCATGTACTTATCTACAAATGTGTATTCTGGTCTGAAAATCTTCTGAAACTCGGGTAAGGAGGTTGAATGCCATTGATATCCTCTGTGATTGCAAACTTCCAATCCTCTAGAGTGCGTGGTTTGTGAGCATGGACACGCTCCTTAAGAAACCCCTAAAGGATTTAATCACTAGTGGACAAGCCAGATGATCTTGGCGGCCACGGCATGTCACCAAAGCGAGAAATCACCTTGTTAGGAAACATTCATTCAATACTGCTCTCACTCTGGCGATGTTTTCGGGTGTTCTCGAAGTTCTAACAAGGCCTGGTGGTTGCTTTCTTGTTATATTCCCAGTTGTTCGGAACCCTGAAACCCATCTTAATAGTGTATTTCGGCTTGGAACCGTTCCATGGCGTTCAATATTAGAATGTTGTAAATTCCCGCTGGATTTGACGACGGATTCAACATTTCGGACTAAAGTATTGTATGCGAAAACGCGATGGTCTAGGGTCCACTGAGCCATTTCAACAAAAATGGCAAGCCTCACTGAAGGTAATGACATAACTTCAATCTTCCTACCACGTGCAACAACAATAAAACAGCTGTTTAAAAAACGTCCGGTTCCTTTGTGTCACCCTGTATTTATTCATATTTTACTTCACGAAACATACTTGTATAGTTTTTATTTTTGAATTGTTGAAACGTGTATTAGCGAATTTCCCTATAGGGAAGTAGCTATTACCGTAGGTCTCATGGTAAGACTTAGGCCCGGGACCGATTTACTTTTTCATTTTAATGTCCCCAGAGGCCAAAAACACCATTCGTTCAAATGTTTATATATATATATATATATATATATATATATATATAGATTTATATATATATGTGTCCGTGAACACGATAACTTGAGTAATTTTTATCCGATTTTGATGAATTTTGGTTTGAAGGTGTAAGGCGGGATAAACTTGAATGAGTTCGCGATCCAGCATGATCGGACTATGGGAACAGGGTTTTATGGGGGGTTTTATGGGGTAAAAATTGGTTTTTCTCACTTCTTACCCTCAAAACACAAAATTTCCCAATTTTTCTCTAAACCTTCTTAAAGAGCTTAAAAAAACAAACAATTCAGTATATCAAAGTGTTTTTGTACGGTTATTGGTTACGGAGAAAACTAAAAAAATGGTAAATTTAAAATTCCCATGTTATTCTTATGGAGAATATTGTAAAATGTTGTAGTTTGCTTGTTTATGGATATATTTTGATCAAACTTGGCAAATTTATTCATTTTATAGTAAGCTATAAATATTTTACTAAAACACACTACTTTATTAGTTTCCTTGTAGCAGCAAACCTAGGTACTCGTTAAACCTTGTATTGTTAAATCTATGTTATTTAAATAGATCAATTGAAAATCAATTCGGCCAAATGGAAATTCGCTTAGACGACAGGTTTGCTGCGGCGGGGGTATTTAATTTTGTACTACAATAGTTGGAAATAAAAACCCGCAATTTTTTAGCCTAAAACAACATTTATTACAATATTATCTTATTTAAGATGCTATCAATCTCCTTATCCAGAACTACTAAGGTAATTTCGCCACTTTTCACATAAAGTATTGACTAGATATACATCAACACTAGTTATTTTGTTTTATCATTGAATACAGTACATATAGTTACATAGAATGTACAAATTACTTATCTAATAAATTTAGTCCATTCGTTTAATTTAGATTCTCAATTCTGTTCAGAATATATTATAAGTTATTGACCCTGAGAAAAATGAATAGAACGTTTAAAAATGATCACCAAGTAATAGTAATGCAATTATCTAAAACTGAATTTTACTCACTATGGAAAATACCGACAACTTAGTCCACGTAACAAATTACATTCCCGTGTATTATGGTTATCCATTCGTTATTTAGAACCAGTTCGTTCAAGTAGTCTTTTAATTTGATATTTAATCTGTTATGTTTTATGAGTCATACATTCCTGTAGGAACCAAGAGTCGTGTTGTTTATGGATCAATATGTGGCCAACACTCAAACTTGGCTGGTAATGTATAATATTCGTGAAAATCCATACACCTTGTTGGTATATTATGTTATCAGCACCATGGAGCGATTGAACATTTCTAATTTAATCTCATGTATGAATCACCATTCTTTTAACATGTTTGGTGCTATGGCACGTTCAAAACATATTTGTGCGTATGGTCCGCTCAGTGTAGTTTGGCATATTATTCCTTATGTTTTCCACTAAATGTCCAGTATCACATGTAGTGATATATTCACCAATTCATCGAACTTAACCGTTATATGGCAAAAACCGTTACGAAAAATATATTGGCATAAGTGGACGTGTTTCCAGGTTCTGAGTCTCGTTTTGATTAAGTTCAACTGAGAATTAATGAATGTGTATAGTTTACAGACATTTGGCTTTATGTGAAATAATTAACCTTTTTTGGCAATGGGGGTTACAATAGCTAGGTTTATGGCAGTTTTCTCAATGATTTATCATTATTAATAAACATCATTATATGTAGTCAACAATTTCTGAATTGTCATATTAGAACCTTCTGCCACAATTTCATATTTAATACGATCCTATAGGACATTTTTAGACAACATTATCTATGCTGTCCAGATGATCTAATATTTAAAACTATCCTAATAAGGATGGCTAAATACTCTTGTTTCCTTGTTCCTTGGTTGAGGTTATTGGCAGTGGCTAAACATTTCCGCCATCGAATCGTAACGAGATGAGACAGTGTTTTTCCTATCTCATCAAACTCTACCCATAAACATTGCTCCGGTTTAGTTTTCAGACAACATTGGACAACCATCTCAAGATTTGTCCATTCTCAAGGTTTTTAATGAGAAGCCAATGAGTTTTTGTCAACCTCCCCTGTAGTCCCAGCGCCGACCGCTGAGCCAGTCTTCCTTGATCATGTCAGCTCCCTTCTCCCCGATCATGATGGTCGGAGCGTTGGTGTTGCCGCTGACGATCTCCGGCATGATGGAGGCATCGATCACACGGAGGTTGGTGATGCCGTGGACGCGGAGTCTCGGGTCGACGACGGCCTCAGGGTCCCCGGTGGGTCCCATCTTGCAGGTGCCTACCGGATGGTAGATAGTCATGGTCAGGTGGCGGATTGCGCACTCCCAGTAGGCGTCGGTGCCGAAGAGAAACTTCTTGCAGCCAGGGAGAGGAATTCGATGAAGACGAGAGTTGAATTGCCGGAACGCTGATCCCTTGCTTACCTGTTGAAGGCATTACAGAATTAGATCGAGGATTTTTGCTATGTTCAGTCGATCATATTGACATCTTGAAATTCGAGCAATATTAAAAAAGTGTTATCTTTATATACCCACACAAAAACAAAACAATTGTTTAAATTTGTGTTCAGCTTATGGATAACTTTTTGGAATACCATAAGCCCATCTCTTTGAAATGGCAATACAGGGCGATTCAAAAAGGACTTTACAACTTTGAAAATTCATATAAATCTTATTAAACAAGGTACAGAGCTGATTTTGGTGTTGTTTTAAAGGAAAACACTTCAAGTTTTTTTACCCTTAACTAAAGATGTTCTATGTGACTTCCGTTGGATTTGGGGAAAATAATTATTTAGGTATGAAAAAATAGTGAAAACCCGTAAAAATTTGAGAGAAATTTACAAATTTTGAAAGTAGGGCGTTTTTTGACGGTGAAGGAGTGCGATTTTCGAAAAATGCATATTACGTGTCTTGTAGGAAATTTAATTCCGAACCTACGTTTTTTCCTGAAATCTTTTCTAGCTCTTACCGTTTTCGAGCCATAGCCGTTTGAAAAAAACGTGTTTTGTCGTTTTCAGAGGTCCGCCATTTTGGATTTTTGGGGGGTTAAAATTTGAAAATGCGACTTTTTGGAATTTTATGGGTGGTTTGGGACCAAGAACTACAAGTGTGGACTTCACTAATTTCAATAATTTCAACTCCCTAGCACATCTAGAAGTGGGTGTATCGCACTCCTTCACCGTCAAAAAACGCCCTAATTTCAAAATTTTGTAAATTTCTCTCAAATTTTTACGGGTTTTCACTATTTTTTCATACCTAAGTAATATTTTTCCCCAAATCCAACGGAAGTCACATAGAATATCTTTAGTTTAAGGTCAAAAAACTTGAAGTGTTTTCCTTTAAAACAACACCAAAACCAGCTCTGTGCCTTGTTTAATAAGGTTTATATGAATTTTCAAAGCTGTAAAGTCCTTTTTGAATCACCCTGTATAGTTGCTCTTTTAATAAAGTTAAAGTATTTTAAACGACCATGTAGGCTACATTAGAAACTCCAATCAACTGTCGCTTCTTGAAATCATGCTTGGAATGATTATGCTATATTTCGTTGACAAAATAAAGTAGAGTATTAATTAATTGAATGACGGAACCAGTAAAAATGTGTTAATTGGCTATAATAGCCCCTTAGTAAATTTACTTCTAAACTTCCTAATCACTATTGTTAATCGCCCAATCTATAAGATTCCCACTTCTTACCCTCAGTGCTATTTTCACCCCCTCCACCAAAGTGGCGATATCCGCAGGGTCGTCGAAGTAGTTGGCGTCGATGAGAGGGTAGTGGAAGGGGTTCCGGGACCGTAGTCTCACCCACCCTCTAGACCTTGGCCTCAGTAGCAGAGGTAGGATGGTCCAGGTGTCCGTCGTAGCCAGAGGACGGTAGACCACGTTGAAGATCTTGTCTGTAATGCCCAGAATGTCCTTGACTCTCGCACCGGCGTCAGAGTTGATGGAGGCAGGAGCCATGTGGAACTGAATGTCCGGGTAGAGACCTGAGCGGTTGGCGTACCTAGTGTTGACGAAGGCGAGGCCCTCTACACCTCCCAGAGTTGTCATGGGACCTCTCTCTCTGATCACGTACTCCATCGTCACCGGTACCGCCTGTGACACGACATGGAACATCACTTAAATCATCAAAATATCTAAAAGAGTATTCTAGAAAACAAATAAAGAAATATATGTGGCATTATGTATAATTTTTTAATACTTAAATCCCAAATCTATTTTGCATGGGGTGTTTAAGAAGAGACTAATATTGTTAGTAAACTATTCTTCCATTGTAATTCACGATATATTTAGCAGTCAGGGAACCTTAAGATAAAACATCTCACAAAACACAAGTCAAAAGTTATAAGAAATAACACGGATTGTGATCGAATCAATCATTACTTTCCCTTTCTCAATACCACTACTGCATTCCTTTCTATTTGTCTCTTGTAAGTAGCAGTTGTCCAAGCCGAATAGAAAAGAAAGTGTCTTCTAACCTATTGTTGTGTGTGTTCGTAATTGTTAGATTTAATAATGAGTTTAATTTATTGATTAGCAAATCAGAGGACGGAAGGGGAGAAACAGAACAACGCTATCTGCCTACATAGCTAAAAAATATTTAAGTTTGTTAAGTGAAGAAATACATACTATAAATTCTTTGAGGTAAATAATTACCTCAAATTCAATTAACCTTGTGGTATACCTACCTTCAATTTGTGAAATATCTTACAACCTCAATTTTTTTTTTTTTTTTTTTTTTTTTTATAGCCAATAATACATGTATCACTGAAGACCAATTCGTGTCCAGTTAGAATATATTTACTGAAATTCATTATAGAGATGATTTGCGTCCGTTACTTCACTAGTTTGCTAATGTTGGGCAATACCTTGGTCATTACCACCTAAAGATATCAACAGAAATCATAAGGTTAGCATCCAACGGGCAAATATATAAACCTATGATATACCGGTAATTAAGAAAACAATTGATGAACCATTCAGTTTACTTATAAGAGATAAAATAGGATTTTGGCTCAATACAAGAAGGGACTCCAAATGCATAAAATATAATCTGTTATGACTTGTAACCATTCTAATTTGTTTTTGGTGTGTAATTGCATTTTATGGCCATCGGTATAAGGAAATCCATCTGTAAGGTCAAAGCCTCGCCAATACTACGCTATATCCTATTGTTTGTCCAGCATAACATTCTCTACTATTATCCCTACTTCTTCAGTAGAAAGTCGTCCACACCTAGACATACCACAATCTATTTCCCAAAGCTATTGTTTCTGAATCATTTGTCTTTGAATTGAAGCGGTATCGTAAATGTAATGACTTGTAAGTTTTTCTATAGCTAATACCAAGGTAATATTTGCCAAGGTGATGTTTGTTTGCTGTGTTATGTAACCTTACCTGCAGTCGGTTCTGGACGATGGCCACTGGCTTGTCCACGACGAAGGTGAGTCCGGCGAACCCCGCGTGGTCCTGGAGGTTGTACCCTACCTTGAGGTCATGTATGACAGGCACTCCCATCTGCTGAAGATGTGGCCTTGGTCCTACCCCAGACAACATCAGGATCTGCGCGGAGTTGATGGTACCAGCCGACAGCACCACCTGCATATACTCATCATATGTATTGATATTTTCTACTAGATTACTTTAGAGACGACAATATCTCAAAAGTGTCAAAAGTGTAGCTCGTTTTACGGCCGTTGGTATATAGTCTTGGCTCTTCTCGTTGACTTGGAAATTGACAACAAATAATGCTTCAAACATATCTTGCCAAACAATCATTGACAAACAAACATTGATATGTAGAAAAGTACTGGGTGTAAACTTGATACAAAAGACTTAGGCCTAATTCCTTCTTGAGTTGTAAAAATAAGTTAAACTCGAACTGTTTGCACTTAACAGAAAAAACCGACCACAGACAAGCTTATCAGATCACTCATGTTTTGTTTGTAGCCTGACGTTGGCGAAGTTAACTAAATGTTAAGGATTTAACGAGATATCTTTTAAGCCATTGTTTGTCTTATCATGCAACCCAGAGGCTAAATATTAAATATGGTATATTTTGAGTTTAATACTGACCAAAATGTTGACATGTAGAACACATTTAACGAGTTTAAACCACTCAATCTATAAATCTATCTATAAATATCTATAGATTATTATAGTATCTATAAATTATCCTCGTGGCATGAATCATGGATCTTTTAGGTTTTTAATCAAACATGAATAAAACATTAATGATTCTAATAAAAGTTATAACTAACTTAAGTTAAAATACGAACAAGTACCAGAATGAATCTAAGCATGATGGTACGCTTGGAATATTGATAATGACATTGTTACTAATTACATTATCTATTCATAACAGAGGTTCTTCTATCCTCAGTCGGTTGTTATGAAGCAATCTTATTTGGAACACTATAAAGATTTGTTTTACAAATTATTCGAGCAAGAAATATTTGATCTTACTATTCTACGTACAAAATGTTTACAATATTTTCAGTGCAATCACGGTCGGGTGAAATACAAACGCTATTATTGTTTTCTCTAGGAATCATTGATGCTAATGAGGGTAGAAAACGACTTGAACAGGTCGTAGGCGCTGCATGCTGTAATTTCAGGTGTTATTATTGTAATGCAGGTGCAGCTGGTGTAATGAATATACAATAACATGATTGTTGTGAAAGTTTACTTAGGCACGTACTGGTACGAGTGGATAACACATCATGTTCATGTTATGGTTTAATGTTGTTACTGACAAATTAGTTAGAAGAACTACTGGTTCCATTACGAATAGTTTTGTTGATTCGTCTGATAAATTGTAGATAAAGTGTACTGACAAATACCTTTCTGAAACATTTCCTTGTGTTTGAATGAGTCTTTTCCTCTTTTTACTTCCTCCACATAGTATAGTATATATTATGTTTTGATCGAAATGTTCGAGTTTGAGTTTTGAGTGGATATATACGTTTTGTGCCCCCCTGAACCCAAAAATGTGGTTTTCGAAGTGATGTCTGTGTGTGTGTGGATGTGCACAGAGCCACAGACCATACCTGTTGTCTGATTCTGATGTAATTTTGTATGTGGGAACTATTCCATAGTATCTCCATACTTTTTTTATTCTTTCGAAATTTTTATTTTTGATGCTTATTTACCTATAAACCCTCATAAAATAACGGAAAACATAATTTTATCACAAATGGCCCGAACGATTTTGATAAAAAGCTTAGTATGTTATAGTCCTTTAAATCCTGAACAAAATGTATTACAAATCCCAATGCAATGGGATTTTTACTTATATTATTTTCCTATATTATAATAAAAAACCAGAATTTATCAAAAACCGGTTTCGATTAAAATTATTAGTGTTATGGCCCTTTAAATTTTAAACAAATTGGTACAAATTCCATTTCCATAAAAACTACGGTTCACAAACCCCATAAAACCAAAGAATGTTGACTTAGAGTATTACAAATCCCAATGCAATGGGATTTTTACTTATATTATTTTCCTATATTATAATAAAAAACCAGAATTTATCAAAAACCGGTTTCGATTAAAATTATTAGTGTTATGGCCCTTTAAATTTTAAACAAATTGGTACAAATTCCATTTCCATAAAAACTACGGTTCACAAACCCCATAAAACCAAAGAATGTTGACTTAGAGAATACTTGAAATCTTTTAAAATGACACAATATATAGAGATTGCATATTTTTGTTAAATAAACTTTTCCATACCAATAATTATTAAGCGTACAAAAATGAGTTGAGGTGCTTTGCATGTGGAGGATAGGCAATTTTCAGTGATTTAATAAACCAAACATTGTGCTTTGGACCAAACAAATTATCTTGTCCCTTAATCAAACTATTTAACTATAAATGTAATAAACTGGACCATTTTAAATCCGCCGAAATAAAACACAACATACTTTCTACACCAAACCGCACTCCTTGTCCGTTATCTGTCGTCATTGTACAAATGATACAACCGCATAAGTTAATTATATAATCCGGTTACAGAAGGCCTATAAACTAATGCCTTTACCTATCTTATACTCCTTTTTGATGGTGTCATATGCTCTAAAACCACAGAATGAAGAACTCAGATTATCGTTACCTCTCTCCTAGCCATGGCCATCTGCAGGATGCCGTCCCTGTAGAACTGCACGCCGTACGCCTTCCTGTTCTTGGGGTTGATGAGTATACGGGTGACATGAGCGTTCATGGCGATGTGCAAGTTAGGTCTTCGCCTGACGGGTCTCAGGAATGCCTTGGCGGTGCTGCAGCGACTGCCGCGACGGATCGTCCCCTGTGGTCAAACATGCAGACACTTAGTACGGTTCTAAATACACTTATAGAATCATAGTACAATGGCAAACGGTTTGTCGTCGCAAGAAATACATTTCAGTAAAACAAAATTATTTTCTGTATGTATCCATCAACTTAACTAATATTCCTTTTACTCTATCCATCAACATAAACAAACTTCCTTTACTACTACTTTATTTTATAGTTAATATTTTACAAATTTTCTTTACTTTTTCTAGGTTTTCTCGACCAATACATTTGCTTGGATAGATTAATGATATTCACCTTTTATACGCTAGGATCATATCGTTCTTTGAAGAGTTGACTAGATAATAACGAGAATAAACAAAATAATTATTTTGTTGGGACACGTAGCAAGTAAAACTATTGAACATTTTGGAACCGACGCAAAGACGGATGTTTGTGTACATAGTAGTTTTTGATGGTTGTTACAGCTGTGGCCTGTTTTGGCATGGGTTCAATTTCTTACAATTTTATGAGCAGTCTTCAGTCTAAGGGTTCATCAATTGTTTGTAGTCGTAATTTAGTCGTTTGTAATCGACTGGGACGGGTGGCGTCGTCCTGTAATCCAGCTACTAGGAGGTCGCAAATTGTGGATAGGCATGCACTGTGGATGCGGTAATCCCTGGTGTGGATTAACGTCCGCACTAGTGAGTACTACGACTATCCGCAGTACTATCCTGATAATTAGACCAATTCGTATATACCAAGGCAAAAATGTGGTTCGGATTCCACTATAAACTGTTGGTCCCTTAGTTGCCATTAGCTGTATGGGCTATTAATTAACAGCTGTGTCTAAGGAATGTCGGCCTTACTACAAGATCGCGCCACTCATCCTACTCTCATCTCCATTCATACTTGGCTTAAAATACCTACTTAGTATGGTCGTCATTTAATAAGAAAGTATTAAAGTATAAAGTATTAATTTCTTCTTTTTTGACTGCATTAAGGTGAGATGATCAATTAATGTTACTTAAAGAAGGAAGAAAACCGTTGTTGAGTTTTAGCTAGTTGGAACACCATAAAATGAACTTGGAACAGTTTTACAACCTGTGAAAATCATAATTACCATATCTCCCGTTCTTCGCTATTAACTTAGACTTTATATGGTAGGTTCACGATCAACCGTTCTTTGTTTTATCCTCACTCTTCTAAAGCAGCTAGAAGTCCAATGTGTTTAAGTGTTATTGTTGAGGTATGTTTATTGTTTACAGTTTATTGCAACGGTTACATAAGCTCAGGACAGTTTTACAGAGCCAAGTGAAAGCTTTGTGTTATGATATTAATTTTGTTCCTTGTAACTTCGTCGGTCTGGAACCGATTATTACTTTCTTCCTCTGTATTCCTTGTTTTATGGTTCATAAAGAAATGATTATCTCGTGTTTTTAACTGGTTCAAAGTTACCCACAATTAGTGTTATACTTATTACCTATATACGGCAATAGCTTTAATTACCGTAAGTGTTACACCTATAACAACCTATAAAAGTATACACCTTTAACTTTAGTTACCTATATAGCAATTAAAGTTTAAAATTTACCCATCGATAACTTCAATGAACTCTTATCAAGCTGGCTTCAAACATTGCTTTATATCACAACTACTGATCCAGTGTAAACTTAGCCTTAGTTAGGAACTTAGCCTTTTGAAAACAAACGAACATTAGCTAGGTGATCTTAATCTTGACAAAACATTGTACATTCACTTAATGTTTGAACATTTGTTAATGGCTAATAATCTTCTTCATTCTTAAGCTTAACTTATCAATATTAATTTGGGTTTGTATACAATTTATAAATCAGCCTTATCCAGTACTTTGGCTATTCCTGCTTGTTCCATAATAAAGTTTACTTATGTAAAGACAGATGAATTCTTAACTTTTGCCGTAGGATTAACTGTATACACTTTATTACATTGTTATTTGCATTTTTGAAGCGATTTTAAATATTTGCGTATTTTTACATTGATGTTGGGCTTTAACGTTTGGCCAGTAAACTAAAATGCCGTTGGCACCAACAATCTGTACTCTAAAGCAAGCGAACAAAATTTACAGAATTAACAGCACAAACCTTTTGGGCAAAGTAAAAAGTATGAAAACCACTTACAACCTATTATCTAAATGTCTATATTGTATTACGTTTTATGTAGTTCTCCCGTTTAATTCACATTGTGCTAATCTTTTAAGTCATAAGATGGTTTATAAAACTCCTCAAACAAGGGGTATTTTACGTTCTGATTCGACTGTCGAGAAATTTACACAGGAGAATGCGTAGAATGAAACAAAGAACATTTCGATAAACTCTTTGTATTTAAATTATTTTTACTATTTTTCAGTGGCCCTACTACGTGGACATTATTTTTGCAGCGCAGGGTTTAGATATAAAATGTATAGGCCTACATTAAAAATATACATAGCTATTGTAAAAAAAATAAACACTATACCGTCATTAATAACGTACGTTGCTAGTTACATAGTAGTGGCAACATAGTGGCTCTAAACTTTTAACTAATAAACAAAAAGGGGTTTTATTCTTCTAAAATATTAATGCTCACTTTCCTGATTTGATTTTCACTTCAATTTTTTAATATTTTCTTAAAAACGTAAGACTGATTTCCTGTTTGAAAAACAATATGTTTAACAAGTACTGTACTAAGTTTTGCTACTACAGGGAGAATTACAAGGCTTGTTTGTAGTAAAATGTTGTTAGTAACTAAGTATAAATTAAACACATTTGTCAAGATTGATCAAAAGATATCTATAAACAAGCAAAATGCAAAGTTTTCTTATTCTCTATAAGAATAACATTAGGATTTTAAATTTGTTATAAATTTCGGGTTTTCTCAATAGCCGTGAGAGATAGTGTACATAGTTTAAAGACTTAAAGATGTACTTTTGTGTGTTCTTTAACCTTTGTTTGGACACAAGTTCTGTATTTCAAACTGTAAGTGAAATATGGTGAAAATACCCCCCGCCGCAGCAAACCTGCAAACTAAGTGTATTTACGTTTGTCTGATTGTATTTACCCTAATTTATCTCCTTAGAAATAGCACATGCATTCCATATTTGAATAGCATTGGCTTAACAAATACTTAGATTTGCTGCAAAAGGGAGCGCAAAACTTGTTTTTTTAAAGTTATTAATTTAGAATTAAATGAATACATTTTCCAAATTTGATTAAAACTTGGTCTTTAACATGCGAATATGAATATGTTTACCTATTATCCATAAGAATGCAGAATAAAGCTTCAATATACTACGTTATTTGTTTTTAAGCTCTACAAAATTAGGTTAAATGAGTTTTATTTATAGAGTAAATAATATATTTTTATAGTAAAAATGAGAAAGTCAATTTTTTTACCCATAAAACCCCCATAAACCCAAATTGCTATAGTCAGATCATGTTGGTTCTCTAACTCGTTTACATAAATGTAGGTTTACACGTTTATACCAAATTTCATCAAGATCGGATGATTTTTAATCGAGTTATCGTGCTAACAAACATATAGGCTATATACATACACACATACACAAATATATATATATAAATATATGTTTTAATATATATGAATTTGTGTGTATGGTGTTTTTAACCTTTGGGAACCTCAAAAAAAAAGTTAATTGATCCCAGGTCTAGGTCTTACCGTGAGTACTATGGTAATAGCTTATTCCCTATACGAGAAATTCGCTAAAAGTGATAATTGGCCGCCATTTTCCAAGATGGCGGCCTAGGCACAACAAATGTTGAATTTAATATATTGTTAACTGGGTGCATGTACTAAACTTATGCAAAGTTTCCTCATTCAGGGAATAATTTCAAGGTAGAGAGAGAGAGAGAGGTTGATTTACCTAATACACCTGGGCTACTTTGGTTCTCGCAGGGAACCTTGCGTTCAGATTTAACAAGAAGCTAACTGAACACCTGACCCGTAGCCACCGTGTGTGTGGCGGCAAGTTACTTCTCATATTGATATTGGTCTTCTGGTGTTTTGTTCTATAATTCTCCCGATTTAAGTCGTCACTTTCTTTATTTATAGTTCGATCAAGCTTATTAAATATTGAAATGTTATCTAAATAGAATTTGTATTCGTATAGTGGTTCAAAGGTTTTTGAACAGTTTGTTGCTGTAATTTATTAACTGGAGTTTTTCTTTTAACGCTATCTTTATGTGACACTTTGTCCTCGTTATTTAGTATCTTTTTAATATTATCATTGACTATATGACATGCATTTATTTGTCAAAAAATGTTAAGCAAGAGTTGTTTTTTGCATTAAATCAAACATTCCACATAGAAACCGCATATATGGTCCCGTCAAAATAATCAATTCATGTTTGGTCTCATATTTGCCCTAAAATTGGTTTATTTGGTTTGATATTAAACTCTTCCTACACATTATTCGTTTCTGGCTTCAATTTGCGACCTTCATCCACAATAAAGACAACCACAGTTATACATATATTGATATTTTTTTATTCATGCAACATACTTGTTTATTTTTTACGTCCTAATAAATCTTTGTATTATTTATTCCTCAAAGCAGTAATGTTATATTTATTTATGTACTATTATTCTGAAAAATGTTTATCCTATGCATTACCATAACACTGTTTTGAAATTGACGTTTTCCGTACGTGTATTAAAAAAAAAAATAAATAAAATATTACAGTTTCTTTATCTTTTGGGAAGTTGAATCTGACATGTTTGGTTTTATCCTTTTGTGTTGAATATGTTTCTAAAATGGATTTTTGTTTTGATCCTCTAGAATGCAATGCACGTTTTGTTTTGTACTCATGTTTATCAAATGTTAAAACTGTGATTGGTTTCTTATCTGGTCTTAGGTTTTGCTCTTCAGCTATAATCTTCACGATCCTTGATTCTCTGTTCTGATCTGCTATTGTAGAGTCTAGAGTGATCATTAAAACAAACTTTCAATTCATGAAGTCTGTCAGCAAATTTCTTCAAACCAAACTCGTTCTTCATCCTAATCCTGGTTAGTGTTGAAGGTTATTGTAAACTTAGTTACGTATAACTAATTAAACAAGCTTTGTTTGGTTGATGGTTCCTTCAATGTTCTTGTCTTATTAGTCTCTAGTGTAGGCTTGAGTGAGGTCTTCTCTATACAACTCTCGTACCTTGGCACAGTCCTGATGGTTAATGGTTCCTTCAATGTTCTTGTCTTATTAGTCTCTAGTGTAGGCTTGAGTGAAGTCTTCTCTATCCAACTCTCGTACCTTGGCACAGTCCTGATGGTTCATGGTTCCTTCAATGTTCTTGTCTTATTAGTCTCTAGTGTAGGCTTGAGTGAAGTCTTCTCTATCCAACTCTCGTACCTTGGCACAGTCCTGATGGTTCATGGTTCCTTCAATGTTCTTGTCTTATTAGTCTCTAGTGTAGGCTTGAGTGAAGTCTTCTCTATCCAACACTCGTACCTTGGCACAGTCCTGATGGTTAATGGTTCCTTCAATGTTCTTGTCTTATTAGTGTCTAGTGTAGGCTTGAGTGAGGTCTTCTCTATCCAACTCTCGTACCTTGGCACAGTCCTGATGGTTCATGGTTCCTTCAATGTTCTTGTCTTATTAGTCTCTAGTGTAGGCTTGAGTGAAGTCTTCTCTATCCAACTCTCGTACCTTGGCACAGTCCTGATGGTTCATGGTTCCTTCAATGTTCTTGTCTTATTAGTCTCTAGTGTAGGCTTGAGTGAGGTCTTCTCTATCCAACTCTCGTACCTTGGCACAGTCCTGATGGTTCATGGTTCCTTCAATGTTCTTGTCTTATTAGTCTCTAGTGTAGGCTTGAGTGAAGTCTTCTCTATCCAACTCTCGTACCTTGGCACAGTCCTGATGGTTCATGGTTCCTTCAATGTTCTTGTCTTATTAGTCTCTAGTGTAGGCTTGAGTGAAGTCTTCTCTATCCAACTCTCGTACCTTGGCACAGTCCTGATGGTTCATGGTTCCTTCAATGTTCTTGTCTTATTAGTCTCTAGTGTAGGCTTGAGTGAGGTCTTCTCTATCCAACTCTCGTACCTTGGCACAGTCCTGATGGTTCATGGTTCCTTCAATGTTCTTGTCTTATTAGTCTCTAGTGTAGGCTTGAGTGAAGTCTTCTCTATCCAACTCTCGTACCTTGGCACAGTCCTGATGGTTCATGGTTCCTTCAATGTTCTTGTCTTATTAGTCTCTAGTGTAGGCTTGAGTGAAGTCTTCTCTATCCAACTCTCGTACCTTGGCACAGTCCTGATGGTTAATGGTTCCTTCAATGTTCTTGTCTTATTAGTCTCTAGTGTAGGCTTGAGTGAGGTCTTCTCTATCCAACTCTCGTACCTTGGCACAGTCCTGATGGTTAATGGTTCCTTCAATGTTCTTGTCTTATTAGTCTCTAGTGTAGGCTTGAGTGAAGTCTTCTCTATCCAACTCTCGTACCTTGGCACAGTCCTGATGGTTAATGGTTCCTTCAATGTTCTTGTCTTATTAGTCTCTAGTGTAGGCTTGAGTGAAGGGTTCTCTATCCAACTCTCGTACCTTGGCACAGTCCTGATGGTTAATGGTTCCTTCAATGTTCTTGTCTTATTAGTCTCTGGTGTAGACTTGAGTGAAGTCTTCTCTATCCAACTCTCGTACCTTGGCACAGTCCTGATGGTTAATGGTTCCTTCAATGTTCTTGTCTTATTAGTCTCTAGTGTAGGCTTGAGTGAAGTCTTCTCTATCCAACTCTCGTACCTTGGCACAGTCCTGATGGTTAATGGTTCCTTCAATGTTCTTGTCTTATTAGTCTCTGGTGTAGACTTGAGTGAAGTCTTCTCTATCCAACTCTCGTACCTTGGTTGATTCTCTGTTCTGATCTGCTATTGTAGAGTCTAGAGTGATCATTAAAACAAACTTTCAATTCATGAAGTCTGTCAGCAAATTTCTTCAAACCAAACTCGTTCTTCATCCTAATCCTGGTTAGTGTTGAAGGTTATTGTAAACTTAGTTACGTATAACTAATTAAACAAGCTTTGTTTGGTTTGGAATGGTTAATGGTTCCTTCAATGTTCTTGTCTTATTAGTCTCTAGTGTAGGCTTGAGTGAGTTCTTCTCTATCCAACTCTCGTACCTTGGCACAGTCCTGATAGTTAGTGGTTCCTTCAATGTTATTGTCTTATTAGTCTCTAGTGTAGGCTTGAGTGAAGTCTTCTCTATCCAACTCTCGTACCTTGGCACAGTCCTGATAGTTAATGGTTCCTTCAATGTTCTTGTCTTATTAGTCTCTAGTGTAGGCTTGAGTGAGGTCTTCTCTATCCAACTCTCGTACCTTGGCACAGTCCTGATGGTTCATGGTTCGTTCAATGGTCCTGTCTCACCAGTCTCTCTGGATTTGTCACATCCACCCTTCTAATGGCTTGGTTTTTATGCATTCTTAATCTCCATATGATTTTTTTCTCCTTTTGTGGACGACATGTCATTTTCTTGTTTGCATGATACTTTTGCACGCAGTTCATGAGATTCTTGACTTTCTTTTCCAGTTCCTCTATGTATTTCTTATCTCAATTGGATCAAGGTTTATTGCGTAGATCTGACGGTAAACTTTGATGAGGATCATTTGGTCTTGTATTTCAAAGGGTGAAAGTAGATGCTTATAATTTAGGAATCTTTATCGATAAGCGTTTTGGAAATATCAGTCTTTAATCGGTTGAAAATAAGTTTTGATCAATTTCAGAAGCAAATTTCTGATATCAAGCTGTATCAATTCGTAAAAATGGGTTTTGTAATTTGATATTGATTATTTATCTTACTATTACTTATTTCAATATACTTACTGGCTTCTATTTGCTACCTTCATCTACATTAAATACGTCAACCGTTTTAAATATATTTATATTGTAATTTACGCAACATACTAGTATAGTTTTTCGTCAATGACATCTTCGTATTATTTATTTAACAAAGCAGTAATGTTATATTAATTCCTATTACTATTATTATTATAAATGCTTAGCTTATTTCCATTACACATTACCATACTGTGTCAATGTCATAATACTGTTGCGTCATTATATTTCTTGTGTTGGACATGTTTTTTAATTGGATTTTGTTTGTCACCTGGTAAAAAAATGGAAATTTTGTTTTGTACTTCTGTTCATCAACAAAAAAACTCATATAGGTACTGCAATAGGTTCTTCTTTTGAAATGCCAACCACTTGTTGCATAACTGAAATTCCATCTTTTTCTACAGAGTTACCAACCAAATGTCTTTGCAGATATTAGTATTACTGATTAGTCGACTGGTTCAATTTCATTTGTGTTTAGGTTAATTTGAGCGAAGAATGTCAACTTTAATCCCTTCTTCAGACCCGCACAGCCTGCGTGAATTCTCTATTTATGTATTATCATGTTCTAGCACAGTAACATGCAACACGTTGTTTATCTTCTTGGCATGATCACAAATGTCGACTTTAATCCCTTCTTCAGACTCGCATAGCCTGCGTGAATTCTCCATTTATGTATTATCATGTTCTAGCACAGTAACATGGAACACGTTGTTTATCTTCGTAGCATGATCACAAATGTCGACTTTAATCCCTTCTTCAGACTCGCATAGCCTGCGTGAATTCTCCATTTATGTATTATCATGTTCTAGCACAGTAACATGCAACACGTTGTTTATCTTCGTGGCATGATCACAAATGTCAACTATAATTCCTTCTTCAGACTCGCATAGCCTGCGTGAATTCTCCATTTATCATGTTCCAGCACAGTAACATGCAACACGTTGTTTATCTTCGTGGCATGATCACAAATGTCAACTATAATTCCTTCTTCAGACTCGCATAGCCTGCGTGAATTCTCCATTTATGTATTATCATGTTCTAGCACGGTAACATGGAACACGTTGTTTATCTTTTTTGCATGATCACAAATGTCAACTATAATTCCTTCTTCAGACTCGCATAGCCTGCGTGAATTCTCCATTTATGTATTATCATGTTCTAACACGGTAACATGCAACACGTTGTTTATCTTCTTGGCATGATCACAAATTAATGTCAACTATAATTCCAACTTCAGACTCGCATAGCCTGCATTAATTTTCCTTTTTTTTTTGTTAATAAATCAGTCTTCGCCACGCTTAGTAAGCTTAGGCTACAATTTATATAAAAATGGAAGCTCCCAGCCCTTAACTGTTTTACCTTAGTGACGTTCTTGTGTTTTTATTTACAATAATGGTATTACGTTTATTATTAACTTCTGTATATTACTTTCCTGTTGAAAAGAAAAAAGAGATAGCTATAGGTTGAGATTCACATTGATGATTACTAAATATATCATATTATATTCAAAATATTACAATATATATATTACAAATACACAAAAAACCTACCTAGTCAAATATGTGGTTGATGCAGTGAACTCAGACGAACTTAATTTGAAAGACTCTGTTGTGTCTACAAACATTAAATATTGTCTATCATAGAACAATAATTGTATTCCCTCCAACTTTTTAAAGTGTTGAGGGTCCTTTACGACAGCTCTAATCTTTTAGTTCACTTGGTTTTGATACAAAAACTCAAACAAAATCATTAATATTCTTCTCTTTAAGCCTAGCTGGTAAATTGTGATGAGATCATTGTTGTATGGAATTCCCAAAACATTTTACACGCTTGAGTACTGGTATTTGATTAATGTTAAAATTTACTACATTTATTACTTGTATCCTATTTGGTCTTTCAACCATCTCATTTGCAGTTTTTGAAGTAGTAGGACTGTTTTACTTCATGTAGTTGAGTATTTGGACAGTTTCATATGCCACTGTATTCGTTATGCGCTAAAAGTATTTAGGTACATTAGGTATTGTACTTCGTAATGATATGACATCGTTTGTGATGTGCAACATCAAGGCGTCATCAAGCATGACCAAATAGAAACTCAACGATTGATAATTTCTTTAATCTCAACAGCGTCTTAGATCGACTTAAGTATAGCTTCAGAGGTTCAATGACCTACCTGAGCTACCATGAAGCCAGCCTGTATCTCTCCATTGATGTCCCTGTTCTGGTAGCCGAGTTCCTCGCCACTCTGCACGAACGCCAGCACCAGTGGAGTCCTCCATGGCGCTTCCTGCACCGTCATGTATCCTCCACGGCCGTGGTACGGACTACGGGCCAAGTACGGGTTACGGTTATCCTCCGACTTCTTGAAGTAATGGAGAACCTGCGGAACGTACAGTCAAATTTAAACCCTCGATGAGAAAAGGTTCCTTTGTACCAGTTCGTGCATTACTCTTAGGTTGGTCTTGATAGTACTTTATAGTACATACCTTGATTATGCCTTTCTTTGTTCCTCCTGCAGTTTATATCTGTATAGAGGTTTACAGTTTACAATCAAAACACATCGCCTAACCTTTAAATACTGTACATTTACTAATAAATTATTTTTGTTTTCAGGTACTGAGTTCTTTTTACTTCGCACTCACAAGTTTTGGTATGTATCTAATACGCTATAAGCACTTGGCCATCACAACTATCCACGCCAAGTACATTAGTACACACCACGTACAGTAGTACAATGGTCTGTCACAACTCTACACAGCACAATAGTCTGTCACAACTGTACACACCACGTACAGTAGTACAAGGTACATTACGTATGCAGAAGCGGTCATGGAGTCCTAGACAAAGCAGAGATCGCACGCAGACTCTAGACAAACAATTCTCTCACTTCCGCCAGAGAAAGACCGGAAGCCGCTGAGAGCGAGATTTAATTAATGGTCGCAGTTTATTGCGGGGTGATTTAATAATTAATTGGGAGTTTCTCAGAGCCCTTTGTCTCCAGTTATGCAATAACACGTAGTTTCTTCAGCTCTGACAACTGATGTAACCGCTTCTTTAGCGGACTTGCTTTGCCTAGTTGCATCAGCATCTCGTTGATTGAATTCTGATTGCAGTTGTGTCTATTTTAGATACCTAGACCTTTATGGAGATTTATATAAGGCCGTTAGTTGGAATGTGGTCGAGGACGACATTCTTTAGCTATCACAGTAGGTAGCGAATAGCGACCCCTCCTATCCCTTCTTCCAAAGCACCACAGAATGTAAATTAATAAAACTAATACAAATCGCCTATAAAGTGTTGTATAATTTATATGAAATTGAAATTGATGTTAAGAGCTTGTAGATAATTATTTTTGTTATTACTGAACTTTATTTTGTGGTAAGTTCTATAAGCTACATTTTTTAGTTCCATGCGGAAATTTAGTTTGGACATATTTCCATTCCTATTTTACGAGTATGGCGTTCAGTAAACTTAATCACGTGTACAAAAGTGCTACTGATATTTTTCATTACGAATTACATTATATGAAGTTATTAGAGAAACTAAATAGATCAACTAAGATATATCGTGTGGAACAGAAACGAGTAACCCCCCCATATATTCTAGTTCCTACATAATATTTCTTGTTTGGTCAAAGATGTGATGTTGACTTACCTCATTGTACCCCCAGCCCGGGTTGCCCATCGCTTCCCAGTTGTCGTAGTCCTGGCGGTTGCCTCTCACGTACAACATGTAGTTGAGCACACTCGACCCTCCAAGCACCTTCCCTCTCGGCCAGTTGCACCGACCTCCCTTCATCCCCAGACATGCTCGACCTGAGGGTAGTAACATGCATAACAGTTGCTATCTCTATTCTGAGACAATTCATATATCCAGATACATGAGATTTACTTGGTTAGGTTAGCACGAATACATTCAACCAAACTACTTTCTGGCAAAACTTCTAAAATGTCTTCGATATTAGAGGTGGTAATTTAGTGGAGGGGTTTGTCATCGCCAACGTTGTGTTCGATTATTTTAGGTATAATAATTTCAACCTAGTTTCACTGTGTATAAGGAATTATTTACGGAATACAGCTATCAGTGGGGAATATTTTAAAGCACGAGTTAGTTCTACTTGTACTTGCGCGTTCAAGTATGTTCAAAATAATAATCCACGTACGTATTAAAGCTCAGTACATATAACACAAACATGAAGGAGAAAGGATTACAAGGATTTACAACTAGTTGTTGGGAAGGGGATCCAGTTAATTTTAATAGCATTTTGGAATCTCATCATTTGACAAATCCGTGTAAACGTACCAATTATCTAGGGTTGTGCCTACCTGTCGGCTCAGTCTTGTACTGCCAGTCGAGCCCTGAGAGCTGCAGGTAGGCTGCGAGAGAAGGCACGTCTGAGATCTCGTTCTCATCTGGCCCAGCCTCCAGTAGCAGCACGGACCAGTGGGGGACCTCGGACAGACGGTTGGCGACCACCGCGCCCGCAGACCCAGCGCCGACCACGATGAAGTCATACTCGCGGTGTAGCTGGCGTTGGTTGATGGGTCGGGACTCCGGGTCGAAGGTGTCGTAGCGATAGTAGGCAAGACCCGCCAACAGCAGAGGAATCAGCCAGATGCCTGAAACAGTTTCCCACTGTTGTTAATCATGAGTCATTTTCTTGCTTAATTATGTCACAACATTAACATCACGGCTTTAAAAATCTACTGCAGCTAATTAAAACGGCAAATTATAAATACACGAATGGACTTAATGTTTCAGTGTCAATATGTGATAACACATTTCCTTCGGAAAACTAAAACCGAGGTTATACGCTATTGAAGATCTTTCTCTTGCACATCAGTTAGCGTCATATTTGATTTACTTACATGTCTAATCATATTTTTGTGTCTTAACCTTTAAGCCATCATGGAATTTCTATTACTCCAGTATTGTTGCCATAGCTATCTATTATTGTGTGTCATATTTTGCGTACAAGAGCACATAAGGTCATCATTGTTAATCGTTTGATCACCACCGCGCACTGTGACAGTGCCACACATTGTATTTAGATCATTATGCGTGTTTCCTCTTCTAATTGAATCTCGGCATGCTCTGCTCTCACATCAACTCGACCTTCTTGTTAATTAATATTTAGGTAAATCACTTACCTACCTATGTCTGTAGGAGGCGGTGTAAATGTTGGTGTAAATATGTTACAGTGGTTTCAGTGGTTATGGAGACAAACCCGACCAAACATGCATAGGGGAATTAACATTGGTTGCTCTCTCTTGAAAAGATACGTTTGCTTGTTGGTCAGGTAGTCTACTGGTTTTTTACTGGGACAATTCATTTAAATTGTGTTTAGGTATAGTTTGTTTTTGTTAGCGGCACATTGTAAACGTAGAATTTGTATTTCCACGGATTAATAATAATATTAAACACATGTCAATCTAAATGTGTTAACCTAAAGATGAGAATCATTGTCTATCTGCCCGCTATATTTGCAATCCGTTTTACGTTCATGGCCATATCAACGACTTAATAAGTATTTAAAAAAAATATGTGTTTATAGACTATGAATTTGTCCTCTGGAATAAATCCCTGAACTGTGACACAGAAAAGGCTGAACTGAATCGTACTACGTTATCCAACATGAGCTCACTCATCCGTGCCCAAGTATGTAATTAAACACATTATAATAGCCCCAAGATCACACGATAGTATAATAATTTTATTAGTTTTATGCGAGAATGCCTTTGACCGAGTCTTCATAACAACCACTTTCTCATCACACATGCAGGTGTACTGATGCATCACAGCTGTTCTTCGTACATCCGATTCCGGAGAACGGGAGGATGCGGAATCAGAGCTTGACGATCTTCAGAATCGATAAAGATGTAATCAGATAGATTGGTCTAACAACCGTATATGTTTAGAGGATCTCTTTACAGTAGATTATGGATATAGTTTCGCATTATCTGGATTTACGGCTACAAATGTCATTTACGATACGTGAAACTAACGAATGATTGGCCATGAAAGAAGCTAATTGTATAATTATACGTTCAGGCAGATTTGAGTGTCCGATCCTCTATATTTCCAGATTGTATTAATAAAACAGACGAAACGATTCAGTTGAAATATCAGCCTAATTCCATTCCTGTTTGTTTCGGGCTCAAGCGTGATCGGACGAAACTGTTTTGACCATTTAGTCTTATGGGTTCATAGTCACACTACAATAGCGGATGCGCCCGGACGAACTACCAACCGGGCCCATCCACACGTCCACACCTATGCGGACAGTTCTCATTGCGCCCGTACGTGGATCAGTCTATCAGTGACTAAGTGCAGTTGGTTCCTTCAGTTCTTTTTTACTAATCGTATAAAATTGCTTTTTACGATATGGAGGAAGACATTGACCTCAAGCATTTGATTAGTTTGGTCAAGTTGTATATAGTATATTAGTTTGTTTCGGATGTCAGTTATGTGGACCACTTCACCGTCACAGCAAACCTGCGGACCATACGAATTTCCACATGGCTGATTAGATGTTAAGTAAAATCTTTCACACGTTTCATTTATTCCTTCTTTAAATAACATTAGGTTTTAATAAACACTTAAGTTTACTGCTACAGGGAAGGTAATGAAATGTGGTTTTGGTTAAAACAAAGTATGTTATACAGTTACGACGATCTTAAGCGATATGACAACAGTGTAAATTATGATAAGTATCATATTTAACTAATACATTACTGTATTTCAAAAATGTGAAATTCGTACAAACTCTGGATAAAACCTTGGTAGAATGAAAAAGATGAAATACGCATTTTCCAGTTGTGTTAAGTTACCTTCACCGACAGAAGGATATGATTTACTGTAGTTATCATTTGGTGAATTTGAAATAGGAAATATGAATTAGAAGAAATATTACCTGTTCCGAGGATAGTCAGCCCAGTTTTTAATGCTGTGGTGACTGCGATCAGAGTAAATATCATTGTGTATGGCACTTGAGCGGGGACATCTTAGCTGAACGGGTGTGACGGGGATCAGAAGCGATGGGACGACCATGGTGTGGCAGCTATACTTCGACCCTGAGCATCTTCACTCCTGTAACACACATACATTAATTATCATAATGAGTTTGTTCATCCACCTGATAGTCAGGTACCGTAAAATTGCCACTACGTAGTACATCATGCTAATTTTCTTATCTACGAATGTAGGATTTTCCTTTCCAAGAGCCGTGAGTTGTAGTTGTGACTGGTTGAGGTTTCTAATGAACACGCGCCCTGTATTTAAACTCCAATCCCGCGGTGAACTTCCCAAATGAAGATAATTACGGTACTGTGTGTACCGTAAATAACGTAACGTGTACCGTGTATAACGTAAATTGGGACATCGGGCGGCGAAATAGCGAGCGAATTTTGGGTCTTAGTTCTATTTCTCATTGCGCCTAATGAGTCAATCACTGAGGTGATTTCAAATCTAATCAGGTATATTCATATTCAATGCCACGTCAGTTTTTTTAGAATGTTGCCGACATTTTCTTAATCTAAAATAGTTAATTATTCATTAAGACGAGTCAAATTTATCTTGTGTGGGTAAAAATATTCCGTTTAACGCTATTTATAAGGATCTTTTGTGTTATCGGCCCAGGTTGACCTCTTTATATGATTGGATAGTCTTGAGGCTGTTGTACTGCTCTAGTGGTTAAATGTTGATGGCCATTGGAAAATGAATACCACATTTAATTATCAAAGGTCCATGCTGATGAGGACAATGTTTGAGACCTATGTTCAAAAAACAATTGTATGATAAAGAAAAAATATCTCATCGAGTCTTTTCTTTTGGAAAAAAAGGTTTATTGACTTGATTAGTTTCACTTTCGTCCTATGATTCAATTTGGTCCTTTGAACCGGACAGTGTGTTGTATAAAATGCTCAATGTAAGGATCCAACCATCAACAGAAACTATTACTAAACCAAATCATATTTCTGAAATGCTACGTTACAAGTTTCTCTCGCATTAGGTAACATTTATAAAACGAAATTCCATTTCCCTAAGAACTATGCTTTCACTAGGTTATGTTTACTACAGGACTATCCTGATGCAAGGGGTTTTCTGGGACAAAAATGTAGATTGGCCGGAAGAGAAGGGATCGGAAGTAATTGTAGGCTGATGAAGGCAATCAGTCAAGCAATCAGCGATCAGCCTCAACTGGTCACAAATCAGCTTTGGCCCAGTGGTCGGCTACTGGACTTGATTGGACTGATTGAAGTGGTCCAGGATTGTATTAGCAGCCGCTGCAGGCAGTGCTACTGGTTACGACTGACACTCAACAAAGAGCTCTAGATGATGAAAAGAGAGCGCTAGTCATAACGACCCAATTTCAATAGATTAAAATCATTGTAGTTGAATGCTTAAGGCAGTTTTTGCGTTGGCAAGGACATTTAGATTGGACAGGGCTGATGAAATATTAATTAGTCAAGATGAAAAAGTTATTTTTAGGCTGAATTTCCCGAATGATTCTCTTTACGAGAATTGCCCTGTAAGGAATTAGCTATCACAGTAGAACCTCGATAACAAGTCTCCATGGGGATTGTCAAATAAGACTTATTATTATCATTTGTTGACTTCTTGTCGAGGTTTAGTTAACACTTCCACTGTGGTTGGCGTGCTTAAACTTAAGTTGCATTTATTTCGATCTTAAGCAATGGTGGAAATCCCTGTCATCAGCACTCAACATGTTATGGGAAAGATAAAATCAAGGAGATTTTTTATTAAGGTAAACTTATTAGGAGGTTCTTGTTATTGAGGTGCCACGGTTTCACTCTGCCGTATTTTAAACTTGTATCTTGAATCGTATGCAAATCGATATTTGACGTAGGAACGAGCTCCCTCGAATAATTGATCTGGTTTTGACAAAATCGCTTTTTACTAAACAATTTTGGAAAAAAATGCAATACAACACCAAACATTAGTTTAGTAAGACGGTTTTACTTAAGCCTGGGAGCAGAAGACAACTAAGTTAGGTTATATATATTAAGTATCTTTTATAACAGATAAATTATTTTGATCTTGTTGACATCAAAATCTACTATCGTAGAATTAATTTGTCCATAAACTTTACTTTGTAGTTTTGGATTTATTTTAATGTATTAAAACTCGAATCTTTACGCAGCCATATCCCTGCCATGCAATAATAAGATTCTAAGATTTCTATTTCCTGTGTTTTGTTCTATGAATGCCTCACTTGCGAATGCGTAACGATGAAATCATAAATAGAAGTCTATGGATATACATTCGTCAGATAGTGTTGAGCAAGAATTGGTGAAGAAAGGTCCACTTCCGTGTACCGCGTCTCATGATATTTTGTGATTACAGAATAGCACTTAATACTGCGTTTGAGGAGCTAAACTACTGTAATTTATTCGTCAAAAAATTATTTTTTAAAATATATTATTCAAAATACTACGTCAACCTTTGGATAGAAAGTAAGTTTGTTGAAAAGAAATTTGAAATCCATTCAACACGACTTTTTTGTCATAAACTTAAGTTCGACATTTGGAAAAACACATCTGTGGACATAAGAGCCTATTGCTGAAACGCCGCCTAGGATTTAATCCATTTATGCAAACAGAAGTCGCTAGGTTTCTTGACAGACCATTAACTTACAAATATAATACTCTTTACTCAAATGTGGTCGGATCTAGGTGTAAGTAGGTGTAGGTGTAGCTTACATACTCGAAGCGTATCTTACCAGTTAAAATCTGATAGCTGTTGGCTCATTTGTATGCCAACCAATATTGAAAAGATACATATGTTTGCATAGATTGATCGATGAATCTATACCAATGTTCCTTCATTGGGGAGCGAGCTGATCTAGTGGCAGAGCGCGGGATTTCGGTTCCCCAGTTCAAATCCCGCCAATCGCCAATGTAGATCTTAGTGATAAAGCCGCATACTCTAGACCTAGCCTGAAATAATGTGAAAAACAATCCCAAGCTAGAGCCTATTAAATAATAACTCTTCAATATCACGCATTTTAAATCCAGGACTCGTGCTGACTAAGCCATCATGTAGACGAGGATTTACGTAACACTTTTCAAAACTTTCAAGATAATTTATCTCCACATAAACTTATCTCATGACTATAATTTTCTACCTCAACAGTTTACACCTTTGTCGTCGTAAGCACCTCTCGCCTTCTCTCTCTCACACATTACGTCACAATTACTCTATCTCTCTCTGTGTCCAATTCCAATGACGTCATTGTGACCTTTCACAATCTGTCAAGCGGTGATCTTTCTCTCAGTGATCTTCTCCTTGCACAATTTGCATCCAATTAGACCTTCCATCCCATTCTCCGTTGACTCTGGAAAGGTAGACTAATTACTCCTTATTTTATCTTTCATCGCCATCGCATTTATGTATTTTAAACAATTGTGTACTTACAAACAAATCCTTCCGATTAAAATTGATTTAATGACGAAAGCGTCCGGGATTAGTGAAGTTAAGTCACAATTATAGTTTTAAGTTTTCGAAATTATACAATTTATTGCCACAATCAAAGGAACGTATTTAGGGACATTTTAGGACATTAGGGAATTCTGGGGGAAAATTATGATGGTCTTGGGAAATTTCGCTCAGGTTTGTTGGTAACACTGTTCAATTCAGTTTGACAACACAATATGCCTAATACTTCATTATGGCGAGATACTGCACGGCGTACAACAAATTCTATGGACAAGACGTAATCGTTTCACAGGTAAGTGTATGTTAAGAAGACTTGTTAAAACTACATTTTTATTATAATTCATTTTTATAGCCCCAGGATTGCGTTTTAAGACTAATTATGGTAAAATACGCGTACCTTGTCAGACAATCCTTGACATGTTTTGACATTTTCGACACTACAAAACATGTCAAGGATTGTCTGACAAGGTACGCGTTTTTTACCATACCTAGTTATATAAGTATAAACGTTAAACCCAAAATCACAGTTACACTCTTATTGTTTGGTTATTGTATATTGTAGTTTATACAAGGTGTTTATATAATACTCTACAACTTTAAACAACAATAAACCTTTTATTTTCATCTAAAAGCCATGAAATGTGTTTGTCATTATTTGCACGCAAATAATAAAGTGTAAATTCCAGTTATGGACCAAACATGAACTAGAATAAGAAATTTTGTTACAGCAACATTTGAAGTTTGTAATTTGAATTGGAATTTATGTAATTTGGGGATTTTGTGTACGGTAGAGGGTTTTGTGGTCAACTCGTGTACTGCCCACACATCTCATGGACATTTTTGGACTGTTCACAAATGTTTGCTGACCCTGTATTTTATTTGCATCATGTAAACAATCTAGGCATAATCATAACTTTAGACGTTGGTTTCTCGAACATTTCTATGAGAATCTTTTTACGAGTCGATTGGCAAACAACCTTAATTTTAGGATTATATTTGTAAATGAAACCATTATCTTTATGTGTTAGTAAATTTGCTAAGTTTAACGACTGGGCAAAGTATGTTAACGATCCAAAAATGTTGCTACTTTGCAAAATAAAAATGTTAAGTAAAAATGTATTTAGTTAAGTCAGTTCGTTTAGCTTTTTTAATGTTTTGAATTGACAGAATTTTATAGTAACAAATAGAGCCCGTCAAAAGTTTTACTACAGTTGTTGCTGATTTTTCTTACGTAATTTCAGTTCCCCCAAAGATCCAGTTCTTAGAAGCAAATGGGTTGCTGCTACAAAAAGAAAAAAAACTGTAATCCTACTCATCACTCCGTTTTATATAGTACACACTTTGAGGAGGGTCAATTTGAAGTTGGTCTCCTTAGAAGGAAGCTGAAGCAATATGCTGTACCTACTAAATTCAATTGTCCGCCCCATTTGCAAAGAAATGAGCCAAAAGTGAGAAGAGTGTTATTCAGAACCGAGGTAAGCTAATTGCCTGTAACTTTGGGAGCCAGTTGGGCGGGACTATGGGAGAGTTTCAAACTTAAAACAGATGTCCATCAGCGATATCTTTGTTATACAGCATTTTTGCAAAATCTCGACTTGATTGGTCCAGTAGTTTTCACGTGAAGCTTAATA